TTGGAGATCTTGCGCAGCTGGTCCGTGAAACCCCTGAAGATGAGAAGGTTTTTGAATTTACGCAGTAACGACAGCACACAGCTACCAAAGCACAAGGGGCCACAGGAACTGTTACTTAAATGAAGACAATTCCAAAGAGCTTTTAAAGCAGCATTTTTTAAATATTCGTTGTGGGGAGGCTGTACAGCTTTAAAACACACTAGGCCAGAATGCGGGGGGAAAAATAAAATAGTTCAGACCCCTTTAGTACTTCATTCGAGCTGCCAGAGGAACTAGACACAAAGCAGCAAGGCCACAGGGCCAGAACCCCACAGCATACCCTGGTACACAGTTATAACTGCAGCTCCCAACAAGGAAGCAAACCAGCTTGGCTTCTCTCCCTAACATCTCGGATGATTAAAACCAGGTAAAAGCTCATTAGCAGTCCTGTAATTCATGATTTCATTAAGATGGCTTCACTGAGAGAACAGTCCAAAGCCTGAACCATGACATGCCTTACTTCAGTATTTCTTCTCTGCATTGTCTCTGGGTTGCAAAGCAAGCTATAGCCCACATTTTGATCTCGACACCGGTGTGGAACTGCTTCCCTCGCATGTCCCATACCCCATGGCTCGGGGTGGCCACTGTTCGATTCTGCGGGAACAAAAGCGACAGGCGTTCAAGTGACCGAGGAAGAAAAAGCCCAGGCTATTTTCAATTTTGGGATAACAAAAAAAAAGAAAGTTTACCATTGAAACTCCGATCCCTGTATCACACAATGCAAATAAACCAACCAAAATAGCCAGTGTGGATGGGAAATCCCTCTGCCAAACAGAAACAAAAGAGAAAGCAAAGAGCTCACCCGTCCTCCGTACTGCAACATGGGTGCTGGGAGCACGCGCCCCGTGACATGGGCCATCTCGTCCCGCACTTTGAACTGGAACTCTTGAACAAAGGGATCTGCATCGTAATTCGCACTTCTCACCTGGAAGAAGAGTTTTTCCGTGTTACAGAACTATCTACTAACTCATACCACAAAAAGACTAACAGAAATGCAGGAGAAGTGTTCCACAACAATTTCCCTCAGCACTGAGAAAAGGCTCAGATTTCACTGCTCAACACTATCAACCTATCCCCAGTGAAAATCATTAATCCCATGAGATATAGTGGATGAGATTTATTTTTTTTTGGTTCTCTTAGTTACTGAAGTGCTCTTTTGGAGTATGCTTATTCAAAAACATTCTGTTTACTCACAGGATGGATCAGAAAGCATTCTCCTTTAGAGACAGGCAAACTCAAGATTAAATAAATAATTTTATTACCACACAATCATGTCTTCTGCATTTTCCAGAATGACCTTACTCTAATTGAATAATTTTGGCTAGTTCGTTAGCTCAAAACCCAGATTGTTTCCAATAAGAGCGATCTGTTTATGAACCTTATTTAAGAAATAGTTAAAATCTATTAAGTTGAAGGGCAAGAAGGAAGGAAAGAACGGACTAGTTTGTACCAAACCGAACCATAATTAAAGAACTAACCAATCTGCTTATTTCCTCTTGCCTATCTGGGGCAGATCTTGCTGTGGCCTTTATCATAGTCGATGTCTGATTGTCTGTTAGCTTCTTGATACACCGCTGGCCAGCTACGATGTTACATACCTTAAAGGAAAATCAGAGGCATGAGCACACGATGGGAGCACTTTGACGCAGATCCCCACGTCCTGTACGTACTCAATACTACGCTACTGCTATAAAACACACCCCCAGCGTGTTTGAGCAACTGCATATTCTTTCTCATCGTTCTAAAGTTTAAAGCACTTTAAAAAATGTGGATAGTCTTTAGTGAGGCCAAAAGAAAAACAAACGTGGAAATATGTAAACGTGTCCGCACTGAGAAGGGCACTGCTTCTTAACATTTGGCAAAACGATACAGCCTGCCAGTAACAAGCTGATCGATCAGAACAAGTTCCTTACTTCTAAAGGCAGGTAGGTGTGTTTCTGTTCCTGTCCCACTTGTAGGCAAGGAAGATGAGGGTATTTCAGCTGGAGGTTGTATTTCTCTCTGAAATACTGTGCTACTGTTCTCTCCACAGTCTGGCCGTTCTCTAACTGCAAAGGAAAGCTGAAGAGATACACATTTTAATAAAACGTACGAAAACCTTAGATGGCAAGTATCAACATCCTCAAAACCAATAAAATATTAGGTCTGGTTACACGTTTACACTCTGACAAAAAGCATCTTACGTTTGATGACTTGCAGGCCGCCTTGTTACGTTACAAACACGGTACTTCCTTCTCATCGTTCCACAGTGAGTCACTTCTACCTTCAGACCTGCGCGAAAGCACCAAAACCCCTGATGTCATAACTTCACAAAAATTTGCACAGGAGACACCAGAATTCTCGAAACAGAAAGTGTTCTGGCTCGGCTTAAACCATGACAAGCATTAAGAGAAAATACAAAATAAAGAAACCACCAAGCTGCTGTGGCCAAGCAGAAAAGGATGTGAAGAGACAGATATCTGGAACCCGTCCAGTGCTTTGTCATTACTCTGCTGGGACACTACAGAAGGCACTGCCCTCCCAGAGCTGCTCGCAGGCTGCCAATTCTTTTAGCGCAGTGTTTGTTTCACTCCACGTGATCACATCAGCTTGGCTGGAGTTCCCAGATACTATACTAGTAAAAAAACATATTATTAACAGCAAAGGTAACCTTCCAACATTGTGTGACTACGGTAACCAAGTGTCTGTCTGAGGCAGCCCAGACCAAGCTTCTCATTCTTCAGGTACTGGTCTTCCAGGCAGATGTACAAAGGAGGTCTGTTAGAACTACTACAAAACAATTTCTTTAAGTTTGTTTTCACTAACGACTATTCTAGGAACACACCAGTTTATGACTCTGGTCATAAACAGATTTATATTTTTTGCTGTCCAGTATTTCAATATGTTCTAACCTTGCACCACGTAACACAAGTGTTTAAGAGCAGAGCTTTGAAAAGCCAAGCTCTTTCAAGGCTTCTCTCTCTGCAGATCACAAGGGACTGAAGGATATGGGAAACACAAAGCAAAGTAGCATATATGGAGTGAAACTACTCAAAGCAGCAGCTTATGCAATCCCCTTGGAATGGAATTTGGCCCTCATCTGCAAGTTAGCGAGTGGTACTTGTTTTTCCATAAGGCAATCAGTTATTAGAAGTCACTGCAACGGCATACGTTCAAGGAACCAGAGACGATAGCTTCAAAATCAATTTCCACTTTGCCTCGGCATTTAAACAGCGCGAGACCCACAGCACAAACCCCCCACGGCCTCCAGCCATCCTGCGAGGCAACGGCCACTCAGGCAACAAACGCTGCACCTCCTCCTTCCATCCTTCAGCAGCCGGGAACACACCTCAGTTTTCACCTTTCCTTTCTGTAGAGCTGTGTCATTTTAATCAGGACTAGAACTACAACGCAGGCACAGCGCAACTCTCTCGGCAGTCCCAGGGCCCTTCCGACACAGCGAACTGGGAGGTTTCCAGTTCGAACAAGTCCCTTCGAATTAACTGGGCTGCGTTCCCTGGGACAGAACACACTCATTCCTACTCACCCTTTATCTCTTTGGTGAATTTTACGCGATGGGAATCAGTCAGAGGTCTCGGTTGTTCATCGATATTGTGAATGTCAAGAACTTCACACATAAACTGAATTACAGGTTGTGCTTTGTAGAAGGCAGTGGCAGAAACTGAAAAGAGCAAAATATTAGGTGTGAAAAGGCCCAAGTCAGAATGTTGTGAAGCAGTACAAATGAATGGTTTTTGAAATTCCACATAACCCTCAAGCAAATGTGGTGCAGCACACATTTCTCAAAACAGATCAGGAAGCCCTGCAACAACCAGGTATACAAAAGGCAGCACAGGGCCCTCAGTGACACATCAGCCTCCAGCACAGTCATCCTGCAACATCCAGCACAGTCGTCCTGCATTTCAGGGCTTCACAAGGGTCTTTCCCCAGATAACATTTATTTCTAGAGAGCTACAGCATCCCCAAGAGACGTTATCTTTCGACTCTGTGTGGGGCTGCATGCACAGACAGTATTAATATCTCTCTACTGAAAACTTTTTAACGTGAAAAGCTATGATTATACAACATAATTTCATCAATGATACAACCTGCTCAATTCTGGAAACAGTATTTGGTAGCAAGACGAGCGCTGTTTCGACTACAGACAAATCATGTCAGCGCAGTGGTGTGTGCGACCCTTCATCTACCCGAATCCCCTGCCCGCCCTGCCCACTGACACCACAGTCCCAGTAAGTGACAATATACTGCTTTTAAACAGGACAGTTCACCGATTCCATAAAAGACAACCGTAAATAATCTTGACAACGTTACGAGCAATCGTAAGGAAGGTGAGGCAGCACCAGACATGGCTCAGGCACAAGCAAACTACTCCATACGCTTAAAACGTTAAATGGCAACAATAGAAAAGAAATACTCAATAAGCTGTTTTAGATTTCCAGACCTCATCCAAAACCACCACATCTCTGTGCTAACACAAGGGAACATTCCTCAGGCGCGCGTCACTCGAGCAGGCCGCCAGCTTCACACGCCGCGTCCCAGCCAACGCCCTGGGACACGCACGAGCGGCACACGCCCACAGGGACGTGCGTCACGCCACAACGTGTGCGGCAGAGAAACAGATTTCACAGAGAACCTCGTGCGAGTTTGACAGCCAGAACAAAAATCAAGTGACGGAGTCGAATGGAATCTCCGCAGCCTCAAACCGCAACATAAAGAGGTTACCCTGTAAATCGCAGCCTGCAAAGTTCTTCAGTTTCTCATTCACGGAAAGGACGGAAAAATTTCTACCGCATGAATTGCTGCTACGCTTCCTAATGCTGGTAGGAAAAACCTGCCTCACAGAAAGTAATAGGGCAGCACCTCATAAACTGGTGTAAATACACACTCTCGTCCTACCTTAATGGCAGTTACCTCGGCACCCAGCACGTCGAGACCAGTATCGATTGCTCCTGAGACTGGTGAGATTTTCACATTCGTTTTACAAAACAAAGCTACCCCATGGCTGCTGTTGGAAAGGTAATTTTACAACACCAAACCCATCTGAAGTTAGACCGCTATCGTCCACAATTTAGGGACGCCAGAACACACGGCCTTGCAAATTTTCATCACGAAAGCTCGGCGTGGCCTGCAACATTTTATTATGTTCCAAGTCAGGCAGTAAGCACAACCCGAGCTACAGTGCTTAACCCGGTGCAAAAAAAGACAAAGAGTATTTACCTTGGGTTTATAAAGCATTTCAACCAGACAGGGAGAACAGAATGTGAATTAGAGAAAACTTTCAGCAGCACCTGCGCCTCAAACACTGACATTTTTCAATAGGGGGTTTAACAACTCAATAGACTGCAAGCGCTTGCAGCACCACGGAGCCCGCCACACACTCCAGTCGATCTCAGACGCATTCATCTGGGACTTCATAATCAAGTGGTGCAAAGCAGATCTTGTTCTGCATAAGAAAGCCTGTTCCAATTAGCCCTATTCACAAAAGTGTTTGTGATATGTTTTACAGAGTTTTCTTGGAAGTACTGAGCTACCACAGGCAGCTGCATGGAGACACGTCTGAAGCAACTTGCCTGTATTACTGTGGATGTACCAGCACAGAAAATTAAGTAGGAAAACAAGCTATGCTGGGCTTCTCCTTTCTAGAGAGAGTTTTTTTTAAATGTGACAGGTAAATTGCTGCTGAAACACCGACGTGATGACAAATCCAGAAAGAAAACTAGGATTTCTAGGTAGCGTTTGCCATACAGGTCTGGTCTGAACAGGAAGCCAGTGTACACATACACACACCTGATTATTACAATCTCACTTTATTACCATTACAACTTCTGCAGTTATGTTGTGTTCTGTAAGGGTATTACAAGAGACAACTACTAAATCTGTGAACTGAGCAACAAGGTGCAAGTAATTTTCAGGTGAAAACTCCTCCCCTATAATAAAGCAATTCGAGTTTGAAAGTTTTCTTATTCTGATACAAATTCTAGCAAATTATTATTTACAATGAGTTAAGAAATCAGCGCATGAGATGCTTCTGGTTACTAAATCCCTCTGCACAGACGGCAGCAAAAGTTATCACCACACAGAAACATGGTTCCACAAACCCAAGCACCGTGACAGTAAAATGACCGAATGGCAAGGTCCTTGCTATTCTTATCCCTATCCTTAACCCAACTTACCATCAATATTGAGCATCATCTTCCACATGGCAGGCCGAACAGACTGATGGAATCCAAACCAGACCTCCCTACCCCCACCCAGGGGGTGATCATAGCCTTCCGGGGCTGAGAAAAAGGAGCGGCCCACAGGGGTATACCTGGAGAAAGAGATGACCACACCTTCATGCTACAGCTTTCAAAGTAAAAAAATTCAGTAAGAAAGATTTTAACACACAGCATCGGTTTTTTCAATTTTGTGTACCAGAAATCTGCGCCTAGAACCAAGTTTAAACAATACACTCTGAATGCTCCTGTCCCCATCGCAGTGCTTGTAAATCTAGACAAAACATTCACGGCTGCTTAGGAGCCAGGGTAGCTGAGGAACACTGGCTTCCATAAAAATCACAACGTGGGGTTTTTTAAGAGTCAGTTACACCCCATGAAAATCACCAGTGCAAAGCCATCCCACCGTCTAAAGCCAGCAGTCAAACTTGAACAGTGACTTTCACTGACCGTCTAAAGCAAAATTGATTTGGCCTGCTCTAAGGCGCTGGGGTTCCGAGATAAAGAGTAATACCCTTCATCAGGACAGGAATCCAGCATCAGCTGTGGATTTAACACAAGAAGCGTGCCCCATCGATGGCATATCAATGGGTTAAGAAGACTCTTGCTTTCAGACAGTCATGAAGCGTGCGTTATTTGGCTCACCTTGAGCAGAAAACACGAAAGCCGTGCTACAACACGCTGTAAGCTTGGAGCATTTTAATTAAGGCCTATTATAAGTGTCTCCTGTTTCCTGAGCTTCTCAAACAAATACATCACCTGCTTTGGAGTTCAACTACCTACAGAAACACACTGGCAAAATAACTAGCTTCCAGCTCCCCAGTTCAGCTAACCGGCTCCACTGCCTAAGGGGAACGAGCATTTTTTCTTTTCACCTGTGAAGAAACAGGGATGAAGGTCTCCCAGTGGGGATACTTCAGGTAAAGACAGACTGCAGGAAGACAGTGAACCTACTTCATGGAGGGTAGGTGTCGTAGCACCACATCGACAGCATGAACAGGGTTAGTGCTGATAGGTTTGTCTAGTTCCAGAGGCTCAGGCAAGGTTCTTCCTGTCAAAACTTCATGCAGCAAGTGCCAGCTCACCCGAGAAACAAACTTTATTGACACTTTGAAGGGACGATCTTTTCCACCTTCTCCTGGTAATGTCACATCCAAATCCACCTGGGTGAGAGAGGGGAGGTGTGGAAAAAAGCAAAAAAAAAAAAAAAAAAGAGCAGCTGTTTAGCCTCCAGTCTGGTAGCCTCGAGTTCCCACTTCTTCTCGTAACTGGGCCAGAGACTCAAAACTTCAGCTATTTAGGACAGAGCACATTTGATAAAAGTACATTATGAAATGCACAAAATAAAGAGAACTGGGTCCTCACCAAGCAGAGGAGGATCGCATAACTCTTTGTCATCTTGAAGCAGAAAACTCTTAACTCCACAGACACTGTGGTTAGATTTCCCTGATAGTACTTCACCATAAGAGAACGTATTACAGCCCATAAAACTGAGTATTGAATGGATTTCACTGTAGAAAGATGTGACTAAATTGTAGGGGAAGTTCTGAATGCAAGCACTAGATGCACAATTCCATGCACTGGAACTTGCAGAAAATACATCAGGACTTCAATGCAGATACTGGCAGACACTTTCAGTTTTTCCGCATTCAGCGATATTAGAAGTTGGGCTTGTTTTTTGGTTTGTTCTTTCCTATGAAGCTGTTACAAATCTCTTTTTTTCTCAGTTATCTTACCCCAGTAGTGGCCACAGGAAGCGGGTTGGCTGTATAGAGGCTTCTCTTCCCATCATAAACCGGTCTACGGTCCCCAAATATTGTCACTTTAAAATGCTGCACCATTGAGTCCACCACCTCCCTAGAAAAATTGATATTTACACTGAAGATGTTTTCGAAGAAGTATTAGACTGGAACCGGCTCCCACACATCCCGTGTTTTGCTGAAGTAGTTTCAACAATGGAATTACTCAGGTGAACTCCACAACACCCACTGATACGCCAGAAAGGCACTCCACATACTTCCTCTAAAATAACAGATAAACGCTACAGAACAAAATCACAATTAACGCAAATGCTCAAATACTGGAAAATATTTCTATTGCACTACCTTCAGAAAGTCCTAGAAATGACTGAGGCTTTTCTACGACCTTTGTTAGAGAAAACAAGGACATAGTTACCTTGGAAGGAATGCACAAGTTGGTATTTTGCAAAACTAGTGCAGAGGCACAGCTGAGAGCTCTGCCAGCTTGCGGCAGCCGTAGTTAATTTTACTGTCTGCCCAGTAAGGCTCATCAGCTCTTCAATTAACAGGAGGTGACTTCCTCTTCCAAATTAGTAGCAGCACTTTCCCCTCTCAGCTGGGGCTTGGGGAAAGGGAAGAGAAATTCTCCGTTTTGCAGGTCTTTCTGTTACTACACTCTCAGAATGCAAATTCCTGCGCTGGCTAAAAGCACATCAACACACTCAGGCAACTTCGAAACACCTTCAGAGCACTCAGCTGTGCTCCTGCACTGTTTTCTTCAGTAGGCCTCCCTCTTGCTAAAAAACGTCAGTATTGGTGTAAATCACAATGCAAATTTCACCTTCTTACCTGTTCACCCTCCGAGGACACTTATCTGGTTTGATATCCACCTCATAGAGGTAGACATCAATCTTTGGGATTTCAACTTGGAAGCAGTTGGCCAGCAGTTTAATGGGTTTGCCCATGGTGCCATAGCCGGGGCGCCTGGGCACCATGAGCAGGGGCTGCGCCCCGACGGGTCCTGCGGGAGAAAACAAAGTCCCAGATTAGAAGATAAGCCCGACAGACAAGCCGAAGGTACTGCTGGCTTACATTTCAGCCCCTTAAAAATACATTAGGCTCCCTGCACGTGCAGGTACACTCACTTGTCCCCCATCGACACTTACTAACTATTGTCCTACTGTCGCCAGGCTTTGGCAAGTCCCTTTCCCGAAAGCCCCACTAATGACAAAGCTGTCACAGGACACAAGAATACGGGAGCAGTTCTGGACTGACATACGTTGTTTGCAATAAACTCTTGATTTCAGTGCCCTTATTATCTTAAAGACAGATTATCCTTGAATTTCACTGCCTGAAAATGGATGAAGAGTAGAACCCTCACCTCCTAACCACACCGATACAGCCGGCCGACCAGAAGAGGAAAGACTCAGATTAGACACCGGGTTCTGAAATTCTCCATTACCTAAACCTTAGAGAAGAACACCACAGCTGCTCAGAGAAACCAGCAAAAGCTGCAGCGCGATGGGTATTCCGGCAGTCAGTTAGAAGTGCCTGCCTAGTAACCCAGGTCACGTTCTCACTTGGTTATTTCTTTAATTTACTTTGCATCATCAGACGAACTTCCTCAGCTCACCATCTGGGCTACTCATGTCTCACAAACCCAAACACAGTAGTACATGCACTCCACTTCTAAGAATTCCTACTGGTATGTCTACTTAAAAATATTTTTTTCCAGTCAAGAAACAACAAACTCTACATGCTTTGCAGCCCGAGTTTTAAAATATTACTCATCGTACAAATGTCATGATTTACAGAGTATTCGATTAAGTTAGTTAAAAAGTTCTCCCCTCTCCTCCTACTCAGTGACGCAGACAGCGATCCCAGCCCACTCATTTTCATACAAGAGTTAAAATGTCAAGTGCTGGTAAAAATGTCTTATTTGCCTCTTGATTAACCTCCACCATTCCTGGAAAAAAAAAATAAAAAATCGCATTATCTTGAAGGAGGCCACGTACTGAGAATAAGTGAACATCAAAGCTAAACTTCCACTGCAACATCAGTCTGGCTGAACCCAGAAACCGGCCAAAAAATTCTGAGCCGGCTTGGCTTGGAGTCCAGAGATAAAACAAAAACACAAACCAAGAAGCATTGTTTAAAACACCCTCACAGACTGTGCTGATGCAAAACTTCCTCCAAACATCTGTTCTCTTCAACTTTTTCCTCATTTTAATACAGTCACACGTGTAAAAGCAGCTCTACAATTTACTCCAACTATTTTTTCAGAATATCAGCATACTCCAGAAGTTACTACTGAACATTCGAGTAACATAAACGACTCGAGCGCTTATTGTAATATTACAAAAAGACACACATGCCATGGTTTACATTTCAATCGTATCTGCAGGAAATGCCAACAAAACCACTGAAATAAAGGTACCATTGGAAAGGTTGCTATAGTCTGGTCTGCTTTGCCTCCCCACGTCCCGTTTATTAAAATAATGTAAAATGTAAAAGCAGCTGCTAAAATCTCTAAGCACAGAAGAAACACCGTGAAGACAATCTGGGAATTAAGTGACCAACAAATGAGTATGAAGTACTGACCTATATCCAGGAATAATTTTTTAAAAATCAGCCGCTTTTGCTATCACGTTGTGCAATACACACACTCCCTTGGATAACTTAAAAACACGAGCATGTTGTGATTCAATTCTACTCTCCCTGTCCAAATACACCAGCACCCACTCGGAATATCCTGCTTCCAAAATACACTAAATTACCAGATTGCATGTTGTGAAAGTCTGTGCCACTGGCTCCAAACCGGTGACTCAAAGCGCAGCAAACACAAGCAGCGAGCGCCGCTCTCCCAGGACGGCTCCTGCTCCCGTATCTCTCCGTGACTCAACTTCATGCCTAAGTCCTGTGTCAAGCTCACGGAAATAACGACATGAACCAAAACTACTAAAAGTAGCCTTACTCTGAAGTAGCGCCGAACCACGGACTCCTTCGTGATATTTAACCGTTGCAAAACCCAAGTCGAAGTTTCAAAACTCTTGGCAGAAGCATCACATGAGGCTGCTGGCGCGGCCGGAGCGGCTCTGCCCGGCGCCGTGCCCCTGAGCTTTGGAGAAGAAACTCCTTTGTCTTTAAGAACCTCTTCTGCTGTGCCACTAGAGCATCAGATACCTACACGTGCCTAGTAGGTTCTTAAAAATACAAGAAAAAATGCAAGCCAAGGCTATGCAGCCTGCCAGAACGGCACTCGATTCACAAAACCCGTCAAGGGAAGTCCCCAGCATTGACAGTCAACAACAAACACCACAGAGCAGCGAACCCCCAGAGAGGAACTAAAACTGACACCTCAGACGGGTTCTGGGAAGGCTTTTACACAGCAGGGGAGCACGTTTCAACAAGATACAAGATCCATCGGTAACCTGCCGAATGGCCGGTTACTCATTAGAAAACATACAGGAAAAACCTGCAGAGGAAATATTCAAATAAACATTTAAATGAGTAACAACACAAGGTAGAGAAAAAAAAATAATCTCTTCAGGACCAAACCGCACGTCAATTTATAAGTTACAATTGGCAGGGTTTGCTGAAGTCATTATTTACAAACAACCTTCAGCAGTGCTGAAGACATTTTTCTCCCAAGTGAATGCTCAATAAACAAGTAGGAGCAAAAGCCCTTAAGATTTGTCTGCAAACCGGAGAAACGCTAAACCAGGCGAGCTCCATCCAGCCCCTCTGCCAGCAGTGTCAGCGCTGCGCACGGCGGCCCAGGGACCGCGGGTTGCCCCCACCCCCGGGGCCGCGTTGGGAGCCGGTATCTCGACTCCCAGGGGATTTACGGCGGCGTTTCCCACGGGCAGGCAGGGCATGCGGCTGTCCCCGCCCAACACCACGCTCAGATTTAGTCCGATCTTCCAACAACCCCCCAAAAAAAGAGATGGGAAAAGGGCATGGTCACTTTGAGAGGGTTTAATGAGGAAACAAATTTTTCAAAGCATTTAAAAAAAGCCCCCGTACTTGCTGAAAGGGAGCGAGCGTATTGTTTCTGAAATGTATTCTGAAGGAAAAAGCTCATACCAATACTGCTTTTTCAAAGAGCTGAAGTTTGGAGTAACATTAAAAATACAATTTCGAGTGCGATTATGTGGCATCTCCACCAACAGAACCATTTGCTCCAGCAGAATTTGAAACAGTGGAAATCTGCAGTTGTCACTGTTCAAATCCACAGTTGGAGAATTCCATTAAAGCCAGATCACATTCTGGACCAGTATGGGAGTCACTCTGACGGTTTAAACAAGCTCTGAATCAGAATCTTTTCTTCCGCAGAATTACAGATGCTATAATAAAGATTAAACACAACAAAAATTGACTGTAATTTCTATGGCAATGCAGCCTGCAGTAGGGAACACATCTGGCGTGCATCCAAAGCACCGGCTCGAGCCTACCTAGCAACCAAACGGAGCCTGAATCGGAATAAAGCCTCAACAGAAAGAGCAGAAGCACAGAAACCTGCAAATACTTTCAACAAACCATTTCATGGAAAAGCGGAGCTGCTGGCACGTAAGGCGGTTTTACAGCACGAAGCAAGATACAGATTTCTAGCAAGATGCTAACAGAAAAAAAATCACATTTCCCAGCATGATCCTTTCCTTACAGAGACATTGGTACCAGAAAAAAAAAAAAAAAATCCTCTTTCCTACTGTGGCTTCAGCATTATAAAACCAAAAAACATTCACAGATGATTACTTAACAGTTTTATTTCTGTTTATAAAACAGTTCTAATTCTCCAACTGAATGGGCGACTGAACAGCTTAAACACATGACAGAGGACTTAACAGGTAAAATATTCTTGCAAGTCTGGCTCAGGAACACAGGGCAGATTTGTCGAACAGATCCTCTCCTCAGGCTGGAGTCGGCACACGGGGGAAAGCTCTCCATGGAGGGGGGGAAGAGAAAAAAAATACTCCCTTTCAAAGGGCCCCTGGCCTCTGCTTGGACTCAGAGGCCCAGCCTGTGGAGCCCAAAGCAAATCCGATCACTAACAAAAAAGAAGTGAACCCCACATTAAAAAAATACCCAGGGGAGATTACATTGAAACGTTGGTTTCAACATGGAGCTCCTTACTTATGCCAGAACTCACGAATTGCCGTATTTCTGAGCTGCAGCCTCACTGGGTGGCATCGCAGTATTTATGAGTAATGCAATCCACATTGCCTCAACATTCCGACTCGCAATTTAGACTTTTTTTTTTTTTTAAAGGTTCAGAAAATAAGTCACGTTAAAACTCATCGAAAGTCAACATTCTCATGCCAGCGAGAGCCAACTGCACAAGTAAATACCGGGGTGGTACCGTGCTCTACCCCAAGAAAGTTACAGAAAATTCAGGGAAGTGTTTTGGAAGCAAGACAATAATGCTTCTGAACCATTAAAAAATAAAGTAATCTAATCATAAAGAAATTTAAGCTCAAAAAAGCAGCTTACACGCACATTGTAAAGTGAACAGCTAACTACTGAACACAAACACAGCAACACTCCTCCCCTTGAGGTATTTCCACAGACCAAAACGGGGAAGGTAAACTCCCCCAACCTTTATCACTGGGTGTAGACGTACTTTGTTTCGCCACCAAAAGAAACACGTGCTGGCGTTTACACTAAAAAACACCCAACAGGCCACTCCACACTTTACGAGGAAACGCGCAATTCTTACAGCTCTCACTTTGGTTATCCTGGTTTCATACTGACCGATTTGGAAAATCGCAGAATTCCTTCCCCACACTCACCAGCTCTGAACTGCTGCTGTCCCTCTACCTGACAGTCAGGTTGCAAACTTGAGATGCAGCAGTTCCCCTTTCTCCAGTTTACTGCCTGAAAAACATCTGAGGGCAGAACACCGAGATTGGAGACACATGGTCTCACTGCAGTTCGAACGGTAACAAACCTAAACAGCAATAAATTCCTGACAAATTTCATCATTTTCAGGAAAATACAT